CCTTGATCAGTCGGGAATGCAGCAACGAAGACCATTGGCTTGGGTTCTTCAAAGCCCGGGTATGGCTCTACGATGTCCTCGCTGCCAACCGTCGTGAATGTGTCGCCAATCTTTGAATCTTGAATCTTCTTCATTCCGGGGTTGAAGAATATGTACCCAACTTGTCCGGCGCGAAGCACTGATTGTGGCACTTGGTTCGGGTATTGTATCCCGACCTCGCCGACGGTGTATTTCTTCCCCGTCGCGTACGATACAAGTTGATCCCCAGCCCGGACCGTGCCGTCAAAGACGCGCACCAGTAGAATGACACCCCTGAATGTGTCGTACCAGCTGTCCACGAGCAACATTCGTAACGGCTTCTTGTGGTCGCCAACAGGAGCAGGCACCCTCTCAATAACAGCCGGGAGTATCGCCTCGACGTTTTTGCCTGTCTTTGCGCTCACTAACACTGGTGCACCGCCCTTGCCGCCTTCATCCTCTGCGCCGAGCTCAAACGTTTCCAGGAGTTGCGACACCGCCCGACCTACGTCTGCGGTTGGAAGATCGACCTTGTTGACTACTGGTACAAGGGTAAGGCCCTGCGCGAATGCTAGGTAGAAGTTGGCAACAGTCTGGGCCTGGATGCCCTGGCTCGCATCGACGAGGAGCAGTGCGCCTCCGCAGGACGCGTAGGAGCGAGTGACTTCGGCACGGAAATCGACGTGGCCCGGAGTGTCGACAAGATGAAGAAGGTAGTCTCGTCCCTTGTATCTGTATATCATGGTGCATGTCTGGGCTTTGACGGTGATTCCTCGCTCACGCTCGACATCGAGTTTGTCCTGGTGCAATCCTTGTTAGTCTTCGCTGCTGACCCCGAGAGGCAGTGAGGCAGGTCAGGGGGTCATCTTACCAGAATCTGCTTATTACCATCACTTGCAGAGATCGTCCCCGTGAGCTCCAGCAGCCGGTCGCTCAGGGTGCTCTTGCCGTGGTCGATGTGTGCGACGATGCAAAAGTTGCGATACCGCTCAATAGGGATGGCCGCTATCCGCTTCTCGAGGTCTGTCATCTCCTTCTTCAGCGTGCTGTAGCTCCTACGCGCCTCTGTCCAGCCGAATCGAGGGTTTGCATGCCTCCAACATTTCGAAGTACGGCTCGTACTCGGCCGGGAGGCTGTCGAAGCCCATCGCACGGTGCCGTGAAGGTCAAGAGGCGGCGGCCTGCGGACAGCCGTCAGACGACATATTCGCTGCGGCCGCAGGCATGATCGCATGAATGCCGTGTTCGCCGTACGGCTACGCATCCAATTGGCTTCGTTGGAACATAGGCGGTGCTTTTGTCTCGCTGCTGTGAGCTGGGCGTGCCTTCGAAGTAGATCAATATGTTTGTCGCACTGATGCCAAAATTTCGAGTCGCGTGAAAAGGGTGCTATCTTATCGCCGATCACCTGGGACCTGCAGGTGCCCGCCTACATATGCAACCAGAGGAGCTTTTGGGAGGAGGCGAAATCACCACGAAGCCCACTGGAAGTAAACACCACGCTGCAATCAATCATGTTTGCAAAGCCTCGAGTTCATTTGCATATCTTGCTATACAATCAATTATGTATACCACGCAGCGTGACTACGTTTCGAAGCGACTGACTGTATCCACGTCTCGTTTATCTAGGTGTGTATATAGCTAAAAAAGAAATCAAGCCCGCGCCTTTGGTATAATCGCTCAGGATATCTTCGTGGGTGTGAATGCCATGTAAGCGCCTTCTCATGCCTCCGTATCATCGTTGTAAGCTGCCAGGTCTCGGGCCATTTGGCCAGAGCGCAAAGAGCCTCATCGATCATGTATCATTAAGAATCAGACGATCCTCCGCCCAAGCATCTCATACAAGAACCCATTCACTTCCCCTCTTGATGAACTTGTCCAACAGCATTGTCAGGTCTGACAAGACAAAGCGACAGACATAGAAGCCGAAGAACTCAGCCGCGTGACGAGTACACAATTCAAGGCCAACCTGCGTTTTGTCTGCATGGCGAAGACCGGGATCCTCGACCTGTCGAGCAATCAAATCTAGAGGTTGTCAGCTTTCGTCCAGCTTAGTTACGAGGAGAGATCGAAAATTGATAACTTACCGATAGTCTGCGCAGCATCAAACAGTCGAGCTAGCGCAGCCATGTAATTCGCATTGGGACCGTTAAATTGAACACTCGTCATGTCTCTTTTCGCTGGTTTGCTTGTTGGATGTGAAGTCATCGGCAGACTCGGCAAGGTCACATCTTCTTTCAACTCTCCAGAGCCTGCAGCGTCTTTCTTCCCGCCCCTTTCGTAGGCTGTCCCCAGCCCTGCCGATGAGTTCTTGCCCCTCAGTCGTCGCCAACTGAAAGCGCTACCCTTTCCGCTCACACTGCCGCTTCTTGGGACGGCGCTGTTCGGGGTCTCGACCACCCCATCCGCCTCCTTAAACATCGAGCCAGAGCCTTGCACCCCTACTTCGTTGCCTAGCCGTCGCGCAAGATTCGCTTGGACCTGTTCCAGAACCCCTTCCAAAGACTGCATCTCCTCAAGGACAGCATCGGCATCGATATTGTCAACTCTGGCCAGCTTTTGAAGAGCAGCGGTGAGCAGGTCACACTGCGAAATCTTGTCGTCTATGTTACGAAGCTTGACACCTTTTACGCGCCACACGTCTCGGGGAACGAATAATTTATTGCTGATGTATCCTCCGCGCGGATGGGCAAGTGTCTGATACAGCGCACGCATGAGCCAGAATGGACGAAGCATGACATCGTTGGGGCACGGTTCAAGGGGTACGGGTCCGTCATTGCCGAGCAATGGGTTTGGCTCCCCCGGCGACCTGGGCGAATGGATGTCAGAGTCGAACAGGTACAAGCCGCCAGCTGCCGAGCCGGCATTGATGCGCTCTCGGAAGGCCATTGCGACTGGCGTGGGCAACGAAGGCATCGCTGGAAGGCGATTGCTCGAGGCATTGGCAAACTGATTTGAGAGCGGAGTTCCAGGAGATAGCTCTGCAGTCTCGTCAATGTTTGATACGGAGAGATTGCGGGACTTCATGCTCTTGAGTGACGACGACGAGAAGTTCTTCCGCAAGGCTGGTCTCGTCACCGATGGTGATCGGGACCGATTGTCAGCATCTTGGGCAAAGCCGAATGGTATGGGCGGCGTTGGAGGAGCATCTCTGGGACTAATGCCCGGCTGAGGTGACGGTGCTTTGAAAGGGCCAGCATTACGATTTGGTCCTGCAGAAAGTGCTTGCCGCTGTTGTACCAAGAAACCTGCTGTCTTTGGCTGCATATACGATGCGGTGGACGAAGGTATCGTTGGCCCAGCAGTGGCAGGTTGTTGCGTTATTATCGGGGCTGGGCCAAGTTTCGACGTCTCGATCTTCAGTTGCTTAGGATTCTGTCCGGACAATCGACGATCGCGAACGCTATCTCTCCGTGAGTCTGCAGCTTTCTGACCACCAGCTGAAGAGCCAGGACGCTGTGGCGGCAGCTGTGGTAGAGACGAAGTTGGTGGCGGGGCTGCTGGGGTTTGTGCTTTGGAGATCGAAGGGACCACGGTATTTTCGGTGACAGTTGAGAGTACCGTAGTTGCTGTCGGCGGATTTGAAGCCATTGAGCTATGCCATGTCCGCGATGTAACTCCGCTCGAGTTCGATTCTCGTGGCACGGGTTTGATTGGTTTCCCGAAAGCAAATTGTTCGATCGCATAACCTTTTGTCATCTCCTCAAGCATACGCTCCTCGTCATCTGAATCGTTACCATCATAGAAGTCTTCTGGTAGTGTCGGTTCGTCGTCTTTCATCGCTTCCATGCGACGCCTTTCGCGCTCGTTTTCAAGCTTCTCAGCCTCTCGTTCAGACTGCCGTACTCGCTCCTTAGCTAGTTCGACTTTCCTCATTGCTTTGGCAACAACATCGTCATCATCATCATATATTCTGCGTCCATCAGGGGCGTCCATAGGGTCATATCCATCGTCATAGGCAGCCTCGATGGCATCGTCAAGCGCGGCATCGAATTCAGCTTCCGTGTCACCGCTAGCACCTCGAATATGTTTTCTCCGGTATCCCATCGATGAAGTTCGGGAGTGCACAGATGAAGCAGCGGATCCCCCTGACTCATCGATCGGGTCCAGCCATGAGATTGATTCGTGACTGTTTCCCCTCTGGTGACCCCTCGCTGCCATGTTCTCTTGTAAAAATCTGCTGCCTTGCGTAGAGAAATCGGATCGCGGGGCTTCATCTGCCGTTGTTCTTTCTCGTCCCTGCCTTGATGGCGGCTTTCTGGGAGACAGTGGAGGCGGCATGTAGTCATCAAGAGGTCGTGGGGGAGCTAGCTCTGGTTCTATTATGCGGTCCACTCTCGAGGACGATCTTGAAAAGGAGGATTGTAAAGTGTACTGCTCGGCGAAGGTTGTTGGAGCGACATATCGTGGTGTCTCAGAGACAAGGTTGGGACTGGGTTTCGAGTTCAGTTGTCTCCGTGCAGCAGATGTCGGCAAAGAATAACTAGTCATCGGTTGCTGTGTGCGATCCGCATCTGGGTATATCCTCGTTGCTGTTGCTGTCTCGATGACACCAGTATCTTGAGCATCATTGTTAGCCTGGAAGGTCGAACCCGTGCTGTTGCTAGCTGGTCGTCTTGGGAGAGCCTTGTCATCCTGATCTGGAGCAGGTACTATTTGATCCAGCTCATCAATTCGGCTCGTGTATGTTTTGCGCTGGTAGTCCTTAAGTCAGTGAATGTCCCAGAATTCCATACTCGAGATTGGCTCACAATGGCTTCTAGTTTCTTGCGATCCTCGTCACCTGCTGTGCGCAAGAGAACTTGGTGTAATAGATCACACGCCTCTGCATAAGCCAGTCTGGCACCTTCAAAGTTTTGCGCATTGTCTAGCTGGACAGCCGTGTTTGCCTTTTGCAATGCTTTGGAGAGCATAGCCTTCTGTGATGGCTGCTTTGATCGGCCCTTTGACGATGTAGTCGTATCCGTACTCCCCTTGGCCGTCTGGGACCGGTTTCTTGAGTGGCCCCTTTCCCTGTACGGGGCATCTTGTATGTCTGTATAAGGCATGCCTGTTTCGCGACCAAAGTACGACGTTGGGACCGAAGAGTCTGGGGTATCTACCGCCGATGATAAGACCGAGCTCTCCTGAGGTGTGAAGCCGGAATCATCCCAGAACGTATCAACACTGGGTCGCCGGAAATAGGGCATGCGTTGGGCTTCCGTTGAGGTAGTGGTTGCTGATCCTCCACGAACTTCCTGTTCAAGTGACGGTAGCGTTACAATCGGTGGAAGAGACTTGAGCGGCGGAACGCGGGCAGGCGACTCTTGACGGACTCGGGACCCAGGAGCAGCAGCGCGAGGCGACCCGCTGGCGGTGGAGGGCCGACTCTTCTGCAGCTTCCTGGGGGTGCCGCCGAAGGTGTTCGGCGAAGAGTTCGCCTGGGGCAGCAGCGTCGTCGAATCTACACTCATGCGGCGGGAGAATTGGGTTGTCTTCTGGTGGTTTGTGTTGGAGGCGCGGCTGGAGGTTGTCGAGGCAGACCAGCGGTTAAGGTTGCGGAAGCCGTCGCTCAGACCTCCTAGACTGCTCGAGCGCGAGTGGGCGTTCGAGGGCCGCCTCCGCCCAGCCTTTGGGGAAAGGTCGTTTTCGTTCACCGGATCGGCGAACGGTGTCTTGGCCGGGGCATGGAAAGGATCCTGGAGTGTTGGTCCCTGATTGTTCGGGGTGATTCGTGGTGGAGGCAGCAGCGACGAGGTTCGAGGGAGGGATGCCGGCGAGAAGAAGGCCTGTGACGGATGGATGATTGTGGAGGATATATGCTGGGGAGCGCTATTGGAAATAGTAGAGCCGTTATGATAGTAGTGCGGCCTCGAAACAGCGGAAGGGTTATCGAAGTTGCTATAGTCGATACCGGCGGTGGGATTCGACGACGGTGTCCTCGAGTGCGCAGTGTTAGAAACGGAGTTGGACGGCGCAGAGGACGACGCAGTGTGAGGCGAGGTCATCTCTGTGTCTCCCTCCCGGGTCTCTCCTGTGCTTCCTCAGCCAGGGTTCGACAGCCGAAAAGGGACGGGAGGGACGCGGCTGGTGCTTGGACGGACGGGGACGACAACGGTGGAGGAGGTGGAGGTGGTGGTGGTGGCAGCAGTAGAGCCTGGGCTGCGTGCTTGCTGGCTATGCTCGAAGCGGGAATGTCGACAACGAAGACCGACCGCTTGCTGGGCTCAATCAGCCGGAATGCGACAGGGCAGGCGCTCTTGCTCTCACACAGCTCCCAAGCTAATGTCAATGGCCGCCACTCTTTTCCCCCCTACTGCATAGTCCTCGAGTAGTCCGTCGGTTCTCACGCGAAAATGCTGTCCCGTTTTCTGCCCGCCAGGCTCAATTCGACGTCTGGTGTGACAGATGGGCCGGGTCAAGTGCCTACTGTGCAGTAGGTGCCCAGGGGTATTCCGTTTTGGGACGGAGATAGTGAGTGACGATCAGCTGCCTAAGACTCGGCGGGTTAAAGCGAGCTGCAGTCGGCAGCGCAGAATGGTGTCGGGTGTGTCGGCGTCGGTGTCTGTATCTATCGGTGTGGTTGACACTGGTTGGGTTGGGTTGGGTCGGGTAATGCAGACATGCAACAGTACAGGACAAGACGGAGACACGCAGCAATCAAGCAGCATGGGGTCTGTCGCGAGCCCCTACCACCTACACCTACATACACTAAACTGAGAGACGCTGCACTTATCTACGTATCTACTGCACGTATCCAGAGTAGGTACCGACCAGATGCAGGGGCACATTTCAAGTGGCCCATTCTCACCACCGCTGACTTTGCTTGGAGACGAAAAGGGACCCCCGTGCGTCATGGATGTTCAAGACCGGGCAAAGCTCGCCGTATCGAGAGGGCAAGTTTATGCCATAAATCACAGTAGAGATGCCCAATCCCTCGAAAGTGAAGAGTTGTAGAGTTGTTAGTGACTTGACAGGGCGGATCTCTCCAGCCTACCTTACCTAGGAAGTCTAGTGTAGCAAGGTACAGGACCCCAGGTAGACGGACTAGATATGCAGATATGATACGAAGAAATTGGGGCCAGGCCAGGAGGAGCAGTGATTCTCTGGTCTGGCGCGATGAAATGCCTGTCTTTTACACGTATACAGCACTCGCAAGAGGCCCTATTCGTGTATGCGTTACTGTATTGTATTGTATCGCCGTTTTCTGTCGCAAGCACCAAAGAGTTACTCAAGAAAGGCTGAAGAGAAGCAAGTCATCTGTCGATTGCTGCCGTCCGCGCTTCTGCAGGGGCGCCGCCAACAAACTCTTCTCCTAAGCTGTACTTCTCTGCAAGGGGCTATTCCGGAAGAGACCAGAGAAAATAGGGGTAGCTCCCCCACTTTGCATTGGCTTGCCTGCTGACGGCGCTGAGAGTCTGGGTCTGGTTGAGGTGTGATGCTTGGAGGCAGGAGGGGTCGCGCTCATAGAATGCTACCCCACACCAACGCGCCTTCCCCAACTGCCCAGTCGTAGCTTCCTAGCATCGCACCTGCTTCTTCTATCAAATTACATTACTTAATCCATCTGGGAAAAAGGGGCGTCTTTTTCTCCAGCTACCAGAGAAGACTCTCTTCGTTGAATTGAAGCGTGCAAAACCTACCTACCAGCCGACTCATTCGAGAAGCAATCTGCGTATAGGTATCCTTACACGACTAGAGGGACCACGTCTTAGAGGTTGCGTGGCTGCTTGCGATTCACTTCCCATTTGCACACAAGTCGCAGCCAAGGCCACCCGAACAAGCAAGGATACCGATAGCCTCTGCCGCCCCCCCCCCCCCCCNNCCCCCCCCCCCAGCACGTGGTTGACTGCACCGAATACTCGTGGAAACTTGCTGGATGATACCCACTCTGTGCCTGGCACAAGACCCCACGGTGCTGGGTAATCGTTGCTTCCCGCTTGCTCTTGGACCTTGTTACTGCAGATGTCGTTATTCGTGTTGCATCTGCGTATCAACACCTCGTCCCGTCTTCATACCTTCGGGGAATAGTCTCTGCATCCGCCTAATCATTGCTTTCAGGTCCATGGCAGATTTAGTTACTGTCGGCCTTTGCGTGGCTGAATCTGATCCATCTTCAGCCTCCTTGGCTCTTCGCATGCTTTCTCTTCCGTTGCTTGACTGAACGCCCCCAAACGCGGGCGGTTTCAACATCGCCCACCACCAGCGGTACGTACAATCTGCCTGGCCTCACCTCCCCAATCCTATGACTGTTGATCCGTATGCCCCTCTTCCCGTCTGCCCATTGTCGGTATCACTGAGGTCATTGGGGGCGACAGCATTTAACCACGAGCTGCATCATGAGCTTGTAGGTCATTAGCCTCGCCTTCGAGAATCGCGGCTACCCGCTGATCGACGACCTCGGTTGGCCTATATGATGCACAGGCAAGATCATCTCTGTCTGTTTTCGCGATCAGATCTAGTGCTACCTCGCTTGAAAGATGTCCTCGTTCCACGTCTTTGACACGGTCGCCTCATTCTGCAGCGCAACGGCACACCCAGCTTTCTGCGAATACGATAAGGCTACTAGTCTAGCAGCCAAGCTATGCGGAATGCTTTGCAGGAGCCGGTCCGGCGTGGGGTTCATCGAGACGAGCCCGCCATCATCGACGACTGGGTTGCAGCTTTTTTGGCAGGAGTGTTTCAACTTATCCAGCCTCACATCCCTGGCCTCTGACGGCGATCACAAGAAACGTCGCACAATGGTCATAGCACCGCAGTGGGGTCTTTGCCTTATCACCTCTCTACCATCCTATTCTCAATGCTGCATTTTCGTCCTTTCCTCTCGGAACGAGTGTTTTCCATGCGTTCTTGTCGCAGTGCCTTCCTTCGATCCGCATTCACACGTCTGTGCTTTGCGTCAGATCTGCTTTCGTTAGCTCGAGCTTCGCCTCCGTCTGTCAAGGCCATGATGAAGTCCTGTCCACGCCACCGGAGTCTGCGCATGCGAATGTGGATTTGCATATTCGCAAATGTGAACTTTTCACTCACAAGTCTCTTGCAAATAAATCAAGCATGTTTTTTCTCTCCTAATTTGTTACGGTGGTTACTATGCTCAACAATACATGCTCAGCATTGGCCCCGCGTCACCCATTCGATGATCTCAGTTTTCACACAAATCGATTGGTCTCGTGTAATTCCGAACATATAAAATGATGCGATGGTCTATTTGCAATTTCGCTGTGCAGACGTAACAAACGCTGGAAGCTCGCCCCTACGTCCGTTGCTCTTTCAAAGCAGGCAGACCTTCGTATACAGCTCGTTCTAGTTCATCATACAATTTGATGATGACCGCATCCGCTGGGGGAAAGATGCTGGTGATAAGAACAGCTCCAATACCAGTTTGAGGATCAATCCACTGCTGAGAGTTAGCGCTCATGTAACAGCCTTCACAGGCGTCATTTGCTTACCCAGTGCGAGTTGAAGTAACCGCTCCACATGATGCTTCCTGCCCGCCGCTTGCCCGGAACGTCGGTCAAGTTGACCATTCCACCCACAGCGTAGCTGAGCTTGGTATCCGTGGGAAACTCTGGGCAGTATCCGTTCCAGAATGTACTGGCGGCCTCTGTGATCGCTTTTTGCTGAAGCTCGTTAAGTTGCGGCTTGGCCAAGATGTCTAAGCTCTGCTTGCTCAAGAGACCGCCCTGCAGTATCGCCAGGATCGCCTTTGCATAGTTGTTCGCCGTGGAATATCCTCCAGCACCACCACTTTCGAGGTCGTGCTCCTTGGGGAAAGGCGACGGCCCCGAGACCAATGCGCCCTCTGGCGTCCGAATCATGAAGCCACCAGTGCGGTCCGCAACATGTGGAAGCTCCTTCGGCCAGAAGGTACTGCTGTCCATGCCCAGCGGCTCGAAGAGGTTCTCCTTCATAAATGCGTTGAGTGTCTTTCCCGTAAGTTTCTCAACCACCTGCCCAGCCCAGTCTGTGCCTGTGCCATACGCCCAACCCTCCCCAGGAGCAAATTTCAGAGGCGTCGTGAAGCCTTCCAGAGACCAAGTTGTGTTGATAGTTTCTTTCCCGACATACTTACGCCATTTCAAGATATCTGCCTCCGCAATATCATATGGGAGTCCCGATCGGTGCACAAGCATGTCACTAGATATTGAAGTCAGCTTGATGAACATGGTGGTCCGAAAGCTCGCTTACATCAAAGTTATGGGCTTCGTGTTGTCTTCTAGAATTGGTTTGTCATTTTCATCGAATCCTCTCAGGATTTGTGCTTCAGCCAGTTGTCTGATGTGGGGGCGAACGTCATCTTCGAGTCCGATCAGCCCTTGCTCAACCACCTGGAGCACGCTGATCGCGGTGAGCAACTTGGTCATGGACGCCAGTTCGACAAACGTGTCTGCATCAAATGATGCCGAGTCCTGTGCAAGGTCACGCCGACCAGTAGATCCTTGAAACAGCAGACCTGGCAAATCGTTAGCTAACTTCCATACGGAGAAGAAAGTCTCACCATCTTTATCTAACACGATGAAACTAGCACCAAGTATCTTGTCTTTTGTATCCTCGCCTTTGGCGCTGTAGCTATCTAGCACCTGCTGTATCTTTTCCATTGTTGGCGAACTAGGGAGGATTAGAGTTTCGAAGAAAAGTCAAGGTCATGCTTCCAGAAAAGCACTTTCGAGGTAAACGGCTTTTCTCATAAACTTATATAGACTCATTAACAAGCACACCATGAAGCTGTATTGTTAATCAACAGTCTTGACACAACGGAGAATGACGAGTGTAGTGCGGACTTGCGGATTTGATGCTATCAAATGATTGGCTGCCAGGATTCTGTGCCTCAAAGCTACTGTGACGGCCGTGAAATCCTTCTGCAGCTTACCGACCGGGCCCTTGAAAAGAGACTAGAACGGCTCGCGAAGTCCCATTGAGGTAAATAAGGCTGCGCCTGGCAGCTAAATGCGGACTACGTCCCATAGACATCGAGCAGGCTTCAAGAGAGGGTCTAGTAAGTTGCATCTATTGTACTATGTCCTAATCTGTCTATGTGGCGCCTGAGGCGAGAGAATCTGGCTTGTCCCGGATGATCATCTGTAGCGGAGAGGGGGTATAGTGCGGGACAGCACGGCACTTCAGTAAAAACTAACAAAGGTAGCGTGCGTCCAGCCTGTAATTGGAGAACGTGGCTCAAGCGAATTAGCCGGCTTGGATGATGTAAGCCTCCAAGTTTAATTCGGCATCGCAATGGTCTCTGAAGCGTCTGCTTCAGCCATCACGTATGCGACTGCAGAAAGCCGTTCACAATCATGGCAACAGTGACCCTAACGAAGGAGCAACCGGCTAGCCTGGGGACGAGGCGGGTGATCTCCACGGTGATGAATTACTACAACGATCCTGGCGACGGGACGCCTCCGACGCCGGTGATTGTCGGCAGGTGAGGGGTTAACACTTCCATGTCAACCATGATTTCTGAAAGATGCAGCTCAAGTATAACATTGTACTGACATGCTTGCTCTTGTCAAGTACTACAGTCAAGAACGAGCGCGTCACAGTTCCTGTCGACATCAAAGTAACCGACATTACTGGCCATGAGAATGAGTACTCGCTCGATAGCCATGGATTCCAATTGCATCACCACGAAAGCGTAGAGAAAGAGTTTCGGGACGAAGAGAGTGTCCCAAAAGAGTATTTCACCGAATGTGAACAGCTCCTTAAGAATGTGTAGGTCCTCCATCTTATCCATGAGACTTGAGCCTTCAGTGGACCAACAGTAGAGCCACTGGCAGCATGGCTCGGGTTGACAAGTGATCGTTGACAACTGAGCGATGCATAGCACAGGTGCTTCGCGTGTCCATGTCTTTGATCATAAAGTGCGCCGTGGTCCAACAAATTGGCACAGCATCAAGGAGAACAATAGGCTTCAGAAGGGGCCGCTCCGTCGTGCCCATATTGATCAATCATACAATGGCGCCTTCATGGTGTTGAAGAAGCACCTTCCGGAGGAAGCGGACAGCCTCATGAAAAAGCGCTTCCAGATCATCAATGTAAGCATCGCATGCTCTATTCTGCATTGTGGTTATTCTAATCCTTGTGTCAGATTTGGCGGCCGATCAAGACGGTCTACAAGGATCCTCTCGCTGTAACGGACGGAAACTCGGTCAGCGACGAGGACTTAGTAGCAGCTGCCATCATATACCCAGATCACCGCAGCGAAACTTGGACGGTCAAGCCCAACCCAGCACATCGCTGGTACTTCAAATACGCACAACAACCCAACGAGATTCTGCTCATCAAGTGTTTCGACACTGACACGTCTGTGCCTCGGCGCGTGCCGCACGCCGCCTTTAGAGACCCCGAGGAGGACGAAAACTACTCACGTGAGAGTATAGAAACTAGATGTTTAGTCTTTTATGACTGAATAAAACTTTAATGCAGAATACCATGCCATTTATGTTGTGATGTTTACGGATCCTTGTCTCTGATAATACACACAAAGATTTTTTATGTCAGGTACAGGTATTGTTGAAGGTTTGGAAGAGGTAAGCGGCTTGAGTAAGTAAAGCACTTTCGGGTGGTCATGGCAGGTGAAGATTTAAAGTAACTTATCTGCATGAAAATGTTAAGTTGAAAATCGCTACATCTACAATTGCTGGTTGGATCTGAGTGTGAGTGACCAGCGACAATCGCTAGCCAACAGTTCAAATTATGTTAAAGTTCACTTCATCAAGCCCTGCCTCCAAGCCCTCCCCTTCCATGAGCCCATCTACGTATGCATCGCCCACATAACTATATGCATCTCCAGTAGATCGCAGAATAAGGGGAACCTGAGTGCCGAACAAGATGGTGACCGCATCTCCCTTCCTCATGCCATGTGGGCCTAATCCAAGCATACCATGAACAGTCACAAAAAGCGTACGTCCTAGGGCCAGCGTGACAGCGTTCGACACTATTCCCTCGCAAAAGTCGTCCACGAGAAGTTGAAGATCATCGCCTTGTCTGAATTTACGCGGAAAAGGATATGAGTTTCGCTGAATGTAATCCATTTGTGTTGCATTGATAGAGCCGGCTGCCACGGGCTCTTGCCGAAATGCTCGACAGGCTAAGGAGTCGACCTCCACGTTGCACTTCTCGGTACGCATAAACCCGCCCACCATGACTTGCCATAGAGTTCGTTCTGATGTGTCATCTTTGAAATGCGGTTCCGCGAAGTCCAATATTGACTTCATATACCGGGTTCTTCTGGCTTTCGACCATGGTACCATACTGCCCGCCGAGTCAACCTGCTCGAAGTCCTCTACCTTGCTAAAGTCGAAGACCGCGGCAATGGAATCAACCAGAGCTCCTTTTCGTCGTAGTACAAACCCACTTGACTCCGCGACTAATGGTTGTTCTCTATCTTTCGAGGCGTGGAAGACGCCATGATAGCTCAATGGCAGAGGGAAAAGTCCGAGGCGTCCTATACGCTGCCAATCAGGTACCCAGGACGGAAGACCAGGTGTGTCCTTTGGGAATGTGCAGCATTCCAGCCTGTACTGTGGATACTTCAATATCATCGCCTTCGTAGCTTCGGTATACACCAACTTGACAGACTTGCTATAATCCGGCCGTACTCCTAGAACGGCCGTATCAGCCGCAACACCTAGAAAGGCAAAGATAATATCTCGTGGGTCGGAAGCTGCATAAAAAGGCCTTCCTCTGGTTGCGCCCCTCATTTCCGATAACAGAATTTCCAGAAGGCTGAAAGGTTGTCCTCGGAGGTGTTGCAAACGCGAGAGAAGACCCTGAATATGGAAGGCATTGTTTCCTAGAAGGGAACCAAAGTTCATCCATTGTGGCTGGCGCCGAGCGAAACTGCTGATCTTGGCAAAATATACAGCCGTAAGAGCGGCGTGGAAGGTGTCCAGACTGACATTCTGCTCACCGCAAAGAATATGGCCATGTTTGGCCAGGGCAATTTCTTGCACAATCCAAGCGCGAAACCAATTGGGACGGTCCAGCAGCCCCTTTATGGAACCATAGATTCGAGGATCCCGGAGCTCTTGATTTTCTAGTACTTTGGGGAGGAACTTGAGTCCCGGATGTGCCTCAACGTCATCTAGAGAACCGGACGTTCCAATGTTTCCACTAGAAAAACTGTTCCATAGCTCATGCACACCGGCCTCTAGCGCATTCTGGCCAAAGGTATCCACTAAGCCCAAGAAGAGATCACTTTCGACATCGCTATCGCCCAAAGATATGTAAACCGATTCAGCTCTTCGAAAGATGGCTCCCATCTGGGACGCCTGCCAGCTTCTCTCTTCAATGTTGCTCTGGTCGATGCATATAGCATCAATCCAGAGCCATGCATCCTTAGTCACTACCTTCGACAGTTGTTTCAAGGCAAAGTGAAGATTCTCGGGTATTGTGAGCTGTTCGCAGTTGACTCTGATAGGAAACTTTGGTGTGGGGTCTCCCCATACATAAGACAGACCATGATATGATGGTCCATCATCGAGTGAAACTGTTGCTAGCTGAAGGTGGTAGTTGCTCTGTGGATCATCGGCTCTCGACATGAGATGCACAACTCGAATCTCTCTACGGTCTGAACGGAGAGTTTCGTAAAGAACCATTTCTGATTGCAAAATAGCCGCACTGCATCATGAGCAATTTGGGTTAGATGCAGATGTTGTTGTTTAGCTCCGTGGCCAGCCCTCTGCCTAAAATTACTAACATGCAATGATGTGACCTTGACCACTGACCAGTCACACACATCGCTGTGAACGCCCCATTCGCACCTACAATCCTGGAAGACTATGTCATGTTCGGGTTCTTTTATAAAGGGAACATTATACACATGGCTGTGGAAATAATACTGAAAGATTTAATTATTCTGTCAAATGCGTCATACATATTCCTTTCACACTCATTGGTAGGCTAAATAGCAGTACAGTCGATCCTCTCACGAATGGGGACTTATCAAGCAGGAATAGAGGAACTCTGGGTGCTATGTTGTAAGTGCTTTTTTGGCTGTTTCGATCTTATACATCACTTGCTACCTTGCTGCCAGGATGACGAAGCTTGAGTAATAGTTGAAGCATGATTTAAGTCTACCAAGGAGTGACCTAACCAGGAACTGTATAGTCGTATGGAAGTGCACCCCGGCTGTCCACCGACCAACTTGTTCATCCGATGAGGGGAAGGTCTGAAGAGTCTCTAATCTCGGTGGTGTCGGTTACACCAAAAGGACCAGAATCGGAGAATTCGGGGTGTAGATGTCGCGCTGTTAGTTGCCTGCACCCTGCTAGTCACCAACCCCAGAGGCTCTAAGATCTGCGAATGCCGAGCAACGGGCATTAGCTTATATCGACCCCGCGCTGGAGCATTGCGATCCCCGCGCTATAGGATCGCATCGCATGCAACCATATGGCTCCTGTCTCCTAGGTCGCCTTGTAGCTAAACCGCAAGCAGAGATGAACCAGCCTAGATTCCGGAAAAGGGCCGAAACGCGATGGCACATGCTGTCATGAGCCTCCATCCAATTCCGATCCGACGGAGATTCAGTCCTGTTATGTGATCACATACTTAAAGCAGTATGGTGCCGGCCATGAGTTTGGTGATGGACCATAGGACA